AGTGAGAATAGCAGCACAACTGGAAGAGCGTAGTCAATGTCACTGAACAGTGCACGTAGAAATTTTTGAAATGGTGTATCTTTGGCTGTGTGTATTTTCACCAAAAAAAAGGTTGAGAAGTTAGAGGGTTGACATGTTGTGGGGTTGTTAACCAATGTCATAAAACAATATGTGTACTACTGTTTCAAAAGAAACTATTCTGTAAGCCTTCACCTGAAGTACAATAAAAAAAAGATAGTTTGGAGAGAGACCCCTTCTGTGTGGCAGGCATGCAGGGACAGCTGAAAACTTAAGGTGGTGCAAAAACACTGAGCTTCCTAGCCCCCACCCTAAGCACAAGTCAATGGCAGCCCACCACTAGAGGAATCTGAAATCTTTGATGCACCGAAGGCAACCACAGTAACAACAAAATCCAAACCCAAAAATCCTTCAATGGGCTCATCAGTAAACTTGACACAGCTGAAGAAAGAATCAGTGAATTTAAAGACAGATAAATAGAAATTGCCAAAATTAAAACACAAAGAGAAAAATGATGGGAAAAAAAATAACAAAGCATCAAAGGGCTCTAAGACAATAACAAACCATCATTAATGCATGTAATTGGAGTCCCAGAAAGAGAAGAGAGAAAATGGGTCAGAAGAAATATTTGAAGAGGAAATACCTGAAATTTTTTCAAAAAATAATGAAAGATAAAAAAAACACATATCTTAAAACTCCAGAGAACTCTAAGCAAGATAAATATACCATTCCCCTACACAAAATGACCTAGATACATTATATTAAAATTGTTGAAACAAAGGTAAAGAGGAAATCTTGAAAGCAGCCAGATAAAAAAAGATACACTACATACAGAAGAATAAAGATAAGAATTATATCAGACTTGTCATTAGAAATCATACAATCCAAAAGACAATGGAGTGACATCTTTAAAATACTAAAAGAAAAATCCATCAAACTCATAGAACTGAAAGTATCTTTCAAAAATGAAAGTGAAATAAACACCTTTTTGGATGAATAAAAACTGAGAGACTTCATTGTCAGCAGTCATGCACAAGAAATGTTAAAGAAATTTATTCAAACACAAGGAAAATGATATCAGAGAGAAACTTGGATCTACACAAGGAAAAGAAGAGCTCCAGAACTGATTTTTAAAAGAATATAAATATATAAGATACTAAAAGATAATTGGTTGTCTAGAGCAAATATAGTAACAATGCGTGTAAAAGTAAAATATGACAACAATAACACAAAAGGCATGAGGGAGAAAATGGAAGTACACTGCTATACAGTCCTGGCACTATAGACGAAGTAGTATAATATTATTTGGAGGTATATTGTGTCCAGTTAAAGGTGTATATTGCCCTAGGCCAATCATTAAAAAATAAAAACTTTGAAAAGATGAATAACCAATGAGCAAATAGTAGAGATGAAATAATTTAAAATACTAAATTAAAAAACAGGCATAAAAAGAAGAAAATGGGGGAAAAAGAGCAAATGAGACAAATAGAACATAACCAACAAGATGATAGATTTAAATCCAAATACAGTGAAACCTGTGAGAGCCAGAACTCAACGGGACTGCCTTGTTTCTCTGGGTTTCGAAAGTTTTCTGCCTTTGACGGGTTGAAGTCTTACCACTTTTCTATTACTTGTTTTAGTGGAAAATATTTGAGTTTTCTTTCTCTGAGAGGTTTCTGTCTTACAGAGTTTCTGGCTTTTACAAGTTTTACTGTATATCAACAATTATATTAAATGCAAAATGTCTAAACACCAAAATTAAAAGAGAGATTTTCAAGTTTGATAGAAAAGAAAGACCCATCTTCTCAGTAATCAATAGAACAAGTAGAGAGAAGATCAGTAAGAATATAGAAGACCTGAACAATATTATCAACTGACTTGACCTATTTGACATTTATAGAACATTCCACCCAACAACAAAATACACATTCTTTTCAAGTGCACAAGGAATATTCACCAAAATAGACCACATTCTGCACCATAAAATAAACTTCAACAAATTAGAGTAATTGAAATAATACAAGGTATGTTCTCTGACCACAATGACATTAAATGAGACTTTAATAACAAGAGGAAAACGGGTGCAGTGCAATGGATCACTCTTATATGGTCTTTCTCACCATGGCCTTGTAAGTCCCATCCAAGTGATTGGGTGGGACCATGCAAATAAGGTAATTGTGGCCCACCAAGGGAATTGGTCAGTTTTGACATACTGCTACACTTAAAATGAGCCATTCTACAGATAAGAGGAGAGGATATAACCATCATGAAGAAAGAAGAGCCAGGAGCGGAGTGTGTCCTTTGGACCTGGGATCCATGTGCTGAGAAGCTCCTGGAACCAGGAGACCGAGAGAGAAAGCTGTGACACTGAAGATGGCAAGAAGTGGAGGCAGAGAAATAGTGGCCTCAGAGGAAAGAGACGGGGCAGTGGGCTTCCCAGCCCATGGAGTGAAAAAGCTGAGTGCCTTCGGGCAGAGGCTTGCTGGTGGAGTGAAGTGCCTCTGGGCATGTGGTGGAGCTAGGTTCACCGACCCATGAAGCTAGAACTGAGCGCCTTTGGGCCAAGGCTTACTGGTGGAGTGAGGCGCCTCTGGGCATTTATCAGCAGAGCTAAAAGAGCTTTGTAACACTTGCCCAAGCAACATGGAGGCCAGGTCTAGGGGTTAAGGGCCAGAGAGATGTGCCTGCAGGTACAGCTGAAAAGAAGCTGTCCTGATCAAACAACTGTACCCTGAGCGTTCCTGAACCTAAACTATAACCTGTTCCTTCCCTAAAAAACTGCGTAATTGTGAATATAGTCTGTAGCTCTGCGTGGTCATTGCAACAAATTATCAAACCCAGCAGAGAAGTAGAGAGTGCTACGGGAGGGATGGATGGTGTCAGAACTGGTAAAGATGGCGGAGAGAGAAGGTATGCCTGCCCCATAGCAATCAGCTTTGGGCTGCTGATCTTGATTCTCCTTCCCCCTTGTGAAGTTAGAGGAGGTCATACGCCCCTACCATACCATTTTTACAGCTGGAAATCTCCCATATATTGGACATTAACCAATACACTTCTAAATAAATCGTGGTTCAAAGAAAAAGTCTCAACAGAAATTAGAAAATATTTTGAATGGAATCCAAATGAAAAGATAACATATCAAAATATGTGTGACACAGCTAAAGCAGTGTTTAGAGGAACAATCATAGCATTAAATGCTTATATTCAAAAAGAAGAAAGTTCTTCATTATCTAAGTTTGCACCTTAAACTAGAGGCTTAAACTACAAGGAGAAGATCAAATTAAATGCAAAACAAGCAAAAGAAAGAAAATATAAAAATTACTCCTTACACTGAAAACAACAACACAGAAGGAAAGGGAGAGATGGGGCAACCCACAGCCCCTTTTCCTTTCAGTCCTTCTTTATTCTTAGTGAGCTGGAGGTCGAGTGTTGGTAGAATGTGGGTATCAACATGTGAAGTAAAAATAGCTGAGCTAGTTGTGTGCAGCATTTCCATCATTCTGGTAATGTAGGTGTATGATCTACAGGAATGGGGCAGCCCTTCAGTGACTGCACACATGGAGGAGCATGGGGGTTGACCCCAGAGACAGACAGAAGCAGGTGGAACACCATCATGAAGGCTGCCATCGTCAGGGGTCATAGGTCACTCACCAACAGTGAAGGGGGAGGGGGTGGGGCAGATGTCTTAAATGAAATTTACCATCAAAGCTAGGACAATTTTGAGAGAAAAATGCATTAATAATCATTGCATAGGACCCCTCCTCTGGGCAAAGTGGGACCCGTAAGCACCCTGGTTCAAGCAGCCTTGTACCCAATCCCCATACGTGGAATCCAAGCCAGCTGCAGTCTCAGATACAGGATGGTGGCTCACCATACTCCTCCTAAGAACATGAGAAAGATGAATCTGGAGAGCCGGGGACACCTCCAGATCCACCTCTACCCTCAGAGGGAGGAGCACATGGAGCATGTCCATCAGTGGCCACTGGGAAGAAGCTGTGGCCTAGGGGAGAGTGTGGGAGCATGGACCTACGGAAGAAGGCTCCCGGGGAGTGACAAAAGGCAAACAGCCAGACAGTAATCCATGTGGGTTTGTGTCTTCATTTTATTAGCTGTTTGGTGATAGTTTGGTTGGTGAGACCCCCATGAGATGTGACATGGAACCGTAGGCCCCGATAGCACGAAAGATAAGGGCAGATAAGCTGTCGCTCTGGGCATGGGACAGTGTCTAGGAGCCCACCCAGGAACACAGCAACAGGGCAGGTGGGCAAAGGAGACTGAATCCAACATGGTGGGTTGAGTTTGGTGACAGGATTCATGGAGGTGACAGTGTCCAGGAATCACAGCCTCTCGCAGCCTCATTCCAGGCTCTGCCACATGTTCAGCAGCAGACGAGGCTGCCACAGGTGACAGGTGTGCAGATGAGGATGGGGCACGGGGACTGGCACACAGCGGGCTGGCAACTCACGGGCACGCAGCAGGCTGCCTGGCAGGGGCAGGGTACACAGCAGGCTGGGCCACAGACCACAGGGCTGCATAAGGACTGGCAGCTACAGGGGCAGCAGCTGGTGGTCCCGCAGGCTGGCTGGCAGGAGGCAGCCTCGCCGTACACAGGCCAGCACACCAGAGCCACGCAGGGTACCAGGCAGCAGGATGAGCTGCTAGTGTTGCCCATGGCTTGGGTTCCTGGGACTGAGGTGGAAGTAGGGTATCAGGGAAGAGGGATGGGCTTGGGGGAGCCCCATCACTGGGCAGCCTTTCTAGCCTGGCCCACAGACGTCATGGTAGCAGGTGGGTTGTTGCCTTGGTGCCTCACCGTATTTGCCCTCCTCACACTCGCTGCCCTTTGGGAAAGTCCCTGTCAGTGTGGCTGGGATCCTCAGGCCTGCCTTGGCGATGAGCTGGCTTCAGCTCCTGTGAACAGCACATTTTACTTGGTTACACAGAGATGCTGTCTTATTATCACAGCCTTCGTCTGTGCTTTTCCACCATGGGGGTCTCAAACAGGCTTCTCCACCACACGGCCTCATGGAGGGGTCACACACGTGGGCTGCATCCCCTTCCCCCACGGCCCATGGACAGACAGGTACCATGTACCATCCTCACGTGGCAGAGAGTTTATTGCCTCAGACTGGGAACAATGCAGACCGAAGAGTAGATTCTTGCAAACTGCCCCCAGAAAGAAGAATTTGCCATCAGCTCCATCCATACCCAGATCATGCCCTGACCGTCTGTCTTCCAGCCCCAAGGGGAACTGACGAGGTCAGTCCATAGGCCAGGCGAGCACAGTGGCCATTGATGACTTCTGTTCCGGAATGTTCTGGGCTGACATCAGGCAAGGTCTGCCTGTGGCCAGGCAGAACTGACGTCTGTCTGTCAAGAAGTAGCTTGGTCCAGCATCTCTGTGTTCAGACAAGAGAGTCAACGTATGCTTCTCAGTGCTTGATTTCTAGAGAGTCAGTGTACATCCACAATTGATGACAGAGGAAGAACTCAGCACCCCAGACCCTTGTGGGCTCGGGCCTCCCCACACCTGGCCGAGGAATCACCTTCAGGGAGGTTGTCTGAGGCTCACCCCACCAGCCCCATCCCCACTGCTCAAGAGTCTACCACGAGGAACCAGAGGATGCCTCGTCATTCCACCCAGGGTCAGGATGCACCACACAGCCAGAGCACAGTGCAACATGGTTACAAAGCAGCACGCTCTCACCCTGGACCAGGTAGCCTCTCTGAGAACAGGGCCCCCAACACGGCCAGGCAGGGTGCCAGCCCTGAGGGAGAACCAGCACAGGCAGCCACTGACCTGGTCCAAGTTGCCATGGCAATTTCCCCCCCACATCCACACGCATCTGGACTGGGAGTGACAGGCACTCACCAGGGACACTCGTGGTCGTGGGTAGACAGATGGACCTGGCGGTGACCCACAGGGCTGCCCGGCGGTTTGTCCTCCCCCCAATGGGCACAGGGCCCGGTCCCAGTGTGGGGCCCCGAGCTCAGCTTGTTTACAAGCGTGAGGTGTTTCCTTGTGGACTGACTCCACAAATTCCAAATGGGAATGGGGAATTAGAATCAAGTAATAATAGCACAAACAGCAGAAGTGTTGGCGGGACACCCACAGGCCAGGGTATATATAAAGGCTCCCAGCAGAAGGAGCCTCCGCACAAGCCCCCACCTCCTCCCTGACACCCGCCCCAGCCACGCACCCCAACATGTGCCACACCTGCTCCTCCATGGGCTCCCAGTCAGCCTACTGCCCACCCCCATGCTGTGCCCCCACCACCTGCTGCTCACCCTTGGGCTCTGGGAGTTCCTGCTGCCGCCCAGTGTCCTGCATGACTCTGCTGTCCCGGCCTGTGTGTGGCGTGGCCAGCTCCTGCCAGTCACGCTATGGGGCCCACAGCTGCTGCCAGTCCCCATGTGGCCCCACAGCCTGCGGCCAGGCCTCCTCGTGTGGCCTGGCCTGCTGCATGCCCAGCCCCTGCTAGGCAGCCTGCTGTGAACCTGTGAGATGTAAGCCCACTGTATATGTGTGCAAGCCTGCTGCGTGAGTGTGCAAGACCACACTGGGTTTGCCTGTGAGCTGCACGCCCACCTTGTGCGTGGCCCCCTCCTGCCAGTCTTCCTGCTGCTGCCAGCCAACTTCCTGCACCTCCCTCATCTGCACACCTGTCACCTGTAGCACCCCCACCTGCTGCTGAAGCTGTGGCCTGCAAACTGGAGTCTCCCTGTTCACAGATGCTGGCAGAGCAGTGCTCCGAATGTCATAACCCTTCCAGCATTGCCCTCCATGGGAACACGCTTTGCAGGCTAATTCTTAAGGACCTGCAGGGTTCCCACAGGGTAACGGATTCAGGACCCAACCACCAGTGTCTGGTTAATAAAATGATCTCTTAGAATTCTCTCCGTGGAAATCATCATTCGCACACCATGCAAGGTGGGGAGGAGTAGCTCACTGTTAGGAGGTGGAGCTTGGGATGAGGGCTGTGGGCTATCCCCGTCCTTATCCCTGCCCTAGAGTGTAGCCCCAAGCCTGGTGCCCACCTCCATCCTCCCTGCAGGCTGCTGGCATGTTCTCTGCCCCTGCAGCCCAGGGTTGGGTGCTGTGCTGCTTTTGTTCATGGAAGTATTGGGCCAATGAGCAACACCCACAAAAGAGCTCTCACTGGTCAGAGAGGACGCCAGGGAGACAGCATGAAAATAGGTGTAGGTGGGATGACAGCCCAGCCAGTCTGCATATCTCAACTTCTGAGGCTTTTCTTCTTGCCTCCAAAGTGAAAGGGGACCAGCCACAGCAGAGGTCTGAGCTGTGGCCCCATACAGATTCGTATGGGCTTCTCAGCCAGCTCCCAATCACCACCACCCATTGCCTGGCAGTGGGTGCTTCTGGCCTGGTTCCCTCGGGGATGGAGAGGAGCAAGGCCCCAGGCCCTTCTCTTACATGTGAGACCGTATTCAATATTTTCCCAGCCCCTTCTGCCTGCCAGACTCCATGCTGACCCAGGACAGACGATCAAGCACATGACAGGCAGAGTTGCAGCCCCATGCAGATTCCAGCCCAGTGTGGGAGGAGACATCCACAGATGGATGGCCACACAGGTCAGGGTAAACTTGCAGCCGGAGCCAGCCCTAAAAGGAAGGTGCACCAGGAGAATGTCTCTTCCTGCTCTTCTCTTATTTGTGGCCTTTCTTGGCTTTTGCAGGTATAGCCAGTGATATCTTGCATGCCTTTTGATCTCAGAGCTTTTTGCCTTCTTCCACTTTGTCCTATTTGAAAGGTTGAGTTTGCATAACTGGGGGTTCAGCCCACCAATCTCCATCGGCAAGGGCAGTGATTAAGAGCACGCACTGCATTATCAGAGGGACCTGGCTTTGAGGCTCAGCCCTGCCTGTTACAAACTATATTGCCTGGAGCAACAATATGACTCTGAAACCTCAGTTTACCCATCTGTAAAGTGGGTACTTTACTAGTATCTGACTCATGAGGTTGTCATGAGGGTTCAATGAGGCACTGTTTATAATCAGCTCAGCATCATTTTAGGCACATATTTTCTAGAGGCATGTGCCTTTAATTTGGGCTTTGTAGAGCTAACATAAATAAACTACAAACACGAGCTAATAGTCCCAAATACAAAATATATGAGAACATGCATCCATTCAAACCAAAGGCAACAGAAACAACAGGCAATAGAAATAGACATTCCAAGAACTTCAGATTATAGAACTTTTGATTACAGAATTTTAAATAAGAATGTTGAAAACATATGTATAACTAAAAGATGGGATGAGAAACATGCAAAAGGAACAAGATTCTATAAAAAAAAGATAAGTTTGACAAGAACCAGTTACAATTTCTAAAATAAAATATAAAATCATTAAAAGTGAAAACCCATTGGATGAGTGAGATGGCAGATTAGATGGGCTGCATTGGGTTTATGTGAACAAGAATGCTGATCTAAAGAAGTTATACAGAAACAAAAAGATATTTTTAAATGAGAAAGTGTCTAAGAGACTTAGAAGACAGAATGAGAAGGTCCAATATATAATTAATTGACATTCCAGAGGAAGAGACAAGAGATAATCGGGGAAAGGTAACACTCAAAGGGATATAAATTATTTTCCAGAAATGATGTAAAGTGTATCCACAGAGTCACAAAGCACAAGACATATGATAAGTAAAAAGTAATCTATGCCTATATACATGTGAAAACTAAGAACAGACAGGAGAGAGAAAAATGTTTAAAGTAGCCGTAGAAAAGAATGGCTTACCTACAAAGAAACAATTAACAGTGGACTTCTCAACAGCAACACAAGAAGCAGAAGAAAGACAGAATGGTTAAAATGCTGAGATAAAATCACACTCAACCTAGAACTGCATTCCCCAATAAATTCTTATTAGAGAACTAGAGCAAAATAAATATTTCCAGACAAAAAGAAACAAAATATTTACCAGCAACAAATATTCACTAAAGGAAATTCTACAGGATACACTCTAAGGAAAAAACAAAAAATCATCTCAGGAGGAAGATCTGAGAGGCAGAAAGAAATAGTGGTTTAAGAAATTCATAAACATTCGTGTAGACAAATAACAACTGTGTACAATAATAACAATGCTGACTCTTTTGCAAGGTTACAAAAAGATCAAGGTAAAACTAGAACCCTGGACAGATATTACAGTTAAGTGGAAGGGATTCATTTTTGTTTACGAGAGTAGAGATGTGATAGACTCTAGACTATGTGAAGTATACCTGCTAAAATCGTAGGAATCACCAATAAAAGAATTGAAAGCATGTGAACTTCTGAACTAGAAGAGGGAGAAAATGAAGTCAACTTTTAAAAAATCAATGCAAATGCAAGTATAAAAGGATTGTTTTAAGAAGTATAGAAAAGGTAGTGTAAAGAGAAACAAAAATAATATGATAGAAAAAATCAAATGTACTAGTAATCACAATAAATGTAAATAGATTAAATTCTTCAGTTAAAAGACAGAGATCGGATTTTTTAAAACAAAATCCAGCTTTATGCTAGTTACAGTCTAAATTAGGGGTCTGCAAACTATGGCTCTTCCTCAGACCAAATTCGGCCAGCTGTTTGTTTTGTAAGTAAAGTTTTATTGAAACACTGACACATCTATTGGTTTATGTATTGTCTTATGTCTGTTTTCACATTACAATGGCAAAATATGCTAGTTGCTACAGAGACCATATGGTCCACAAAGCCTAAAATATTTACTATCTGGTCATTTACAGAAAATATGTGTCAATCCCTGGTCTAAAGTGTAAAGAACAGAAAGGTTGAAAGTAAAAGGAGAGAGAAAAACATGCCTAGCAAATACTAATCAAAAGATATCTGGTACCATTACTTTAATAGACAAAAGACTTTAAGGAAAAAACATTATTGTGAATGAGGATGTTTCTAATTAATGATAATAAGGTTCAATTCACCAAGAAGATATAAGAAATATCAAATTCTACATACCACAAGTATAGCTTCAGTATTGAAAACTCTGGCAGATTCCAAAGAAGAAAGACAAATCCTCAGTCACAGGGAAAGACTCTCAGAACTTGATAGATCAAGCAGATAAACCAATATTAAAGACCAATTAATTCAAAATTTGAAAAATATGCAAATACTTTTCTTTAACTTTAAATGAGTTATACCAATATAAGAGACACGTCCAATTAATATTTTGGGTACATTTTGTCTCAAAGGGCTTCTGAATTCATGAAGAAATGTTGTCAATTTATTATCTGAACAATTGAGCAGTTGATAGATGTATTTGAATTATTTACATCTGTCAGAGAAGAATTTCAGCTAGATATGAAAAAATTAATTTCTATCACAATGGGTGATGCTCATCTATGTTAGGTCGAAAATCTTAATTTATTGTCATTTTAAAACAAGAGACTGATGTTTTTTGTATTTTTCCATGTGTGTATTATCCTATTAAAAAAAGAGAAAGAAAATAGAAAATAAAATTGCCAAGACATATTTTGAAAGCATCGGATTGGCTGAATTTTAAACACCTAACAATACAGGTGTTGTTTTGATGTGGAATAACCCAATCTCATACATGTTGTTGGTGTAAATTGGGAACAATCCCTTTGCAGTGACTTGCACCATCTGGTGAAGGTGATGATGTGCATAGATAAGCCCAGCAGTAGTACTTCTAAATAAATAACCTGAAGAAATGTTTGCATATATTCACAGGAAAAGTTAAAAATGTTATTTACAGCATTTTTTATTGTAACTAAAAGTCGTGAATAACCTAAATGGCTGAACAGAAGAATAAATAGATAGGTTTTGGTACATATATGCAATGGAGTACTACACACCAGTAAATAGAAATGAACAAGAGCTACTCAGATCAGCATAGATGGATTTGCTGCAACATAATATTAAGCAAAAAAGAAATAAAAGGCAAGTAACAAAAAGATATGCAATGTATGATAACATCTAAACTTTAAAACACTAGTGTATGATAACTTCCAGCTTCAGACGGGGGGGTCTTCTCGATGAGGAATGAGGGAAAGACAAGAGGGTAAGTAAGAAGAGGTTGTCTAAGCTGGTTGGTACATCCATGAGTGGGCATTTTTGTATAATCTGAAAAAATAATAAAATACTTATTGTAGTATTTTCCACTTCAAACCCAGTAAAACTTATTTTCTCCTTCTCTGGATTTTCCTAGCCATCTTTATTTTTGTCACACACTTGTCACAGAGTCACTGCTATGTTTCAATGTAGCTAAAGATTCCTGTGCTGGTTTCCTGTCTTCCCACCTGCACTGTGAGCTTTGTAAGAATTATCCCTGGTGGGTGTAACAAGGGGTCCTGACAAGAGCAGTAGAGCACTGTGTGAGTGCAAGTATGTGCAAGCACACGTGTGTGTGTGCATGTGTACATGTGTGAGTGCAAATAAGAATGTGTGTGCATGTATGCATGTGTATGGTACATGGGTGTGATGGTGTACATGTACTTGTGGTCCATGCCTGTGTGTGTGCATGCACAGGTGTGTCTACACATGTGAGTGCATGGTTTGTGTGTATGTGTATGTGCACATGCATGGCTGTGTAGGTGTGTGTGTGCGTGTGCGTGTGTGTGCATGCAGGCACCAGGTGGAGGTGGGGCCAAATGAACTGTGGGAGCGATAGCCTGAGTGCAAGAGGAAGGAGAGAGAAGGCAGAGGCATCCTGGGTTTAGAGGTTTTGTGAAAAGATGGCCTCGGGGCCTTTCTGTGCAAAGTCAGCTCACAAGCCTCCTGACTCATAGTCCTCATACACAGTGAGACAAAAAACATCAGGGAAGGATTTGAGAGTTGAATCAATGATGCTGCAGATACCAAAAAACTGCTCGGAAAGCAAAACTCAGCACCAACATGCACACAGAGAACCGGGTTCATCTTCTGCAGGAAGACATGAGCTGTAGAGTCGGTGATGTTGTCAAAGCTGAGCATCATAGCAAAAACGGTGAAGTCCAAACAGGAAAATAAGGTGTTAGGAAGACACAGGGAAACAATAATTATACTTCTGTATTGCCAGGACACCCACGACCCAGGTATAAAGGCTTCCCAGTGGAGGGAGACTCCACACCAGCTCCCACCTCCTCCCTGACCCAGCCATACACCCACTATGTGCCACACCTGCTCCTCCATGGGCTGCCAGTCAGCCAGCTGCCTGCCCCCATGCTGCATCCCCACTGCCTGCTGCTCACCCTTGAGCTGTGGGAGCTCCTGCTGCCGCCCAGTGTCCTGCGTGACTTTGCTGTGCCGGCCTGTGTGTGGCATGGCCAGCTCCTGCCAATCACCCTGTGGGGCTGCCAGCATCTGCTCCAGTGGCTGCCAGTCCCCATGTGGTCCCTCGGCCTGTGGCCAGGCCTCCTCCTGCAGCTCAGCCTACTATGTGCCCAGCCCCTGCCAGGTGACCTGCTGTGGTCCTGTGAGCTGTAAGCCGGCTGCATGTGTGCCAGTGAGCTGCCAGTCTGCCATGTGTCTCCCTCTGAGCTGCAAGCCCGCAGTGTGCATGGCTCCCTCCTGCCAGTCTTCCTGCTACTGAACCATCAATTCCCAGACCTCGTGGAGGAGCTGCTCTGGTCATATGCAGGAGCCGTGGTGAGAACTGTCCCTTCTTGATCACCTCTCGGTCAGAGAGAGCTAAGAAGATCTTCTTCTTCCCCAAATCACCTTCCACTGTGGGCAGAGGCACAAACCCAAGGGCGCTGTTTCTGACGTCCTCATTGGCTTTCCCCTCCACCACAACTTTGAAGAAAATTGGACCTTTCATCTGGATTTTTCCTAAAGTAATTAACTTGTCAGATTTTCATCCTCTTATTTGGTGTCTCTTGGTTTAAAGCGTTGTTTCCTAAGACTTGCCCAATGTGGAAGCTAACATCACAGAATGGGAGGCCCAGAGTGGCCCAGAGGAAAGGGAGGAGCTGAGCTATGGCTTTCTGCCCATGTTTCTCCAAGTTTAAGAACAGGGGGTCTCTGGCATTTTGGGGTTCCCACAAGTGATGGTTAAGATTGTGCATTAACTTGGCTGGGCCATGATTCTCATTGTTTATATGTGATCACTCTCATGATTGAATCTGCTGTGAGTAGCCAATCAGTTAAAAGGGAGTTTCCTTGGGGTGTGGCCTGCATCCAAATATAAGCAGACATTCTGGCTTTTTGTCTGCTCTGGATCCTGTAGCTGCCTCCTATTGGTCTGACCTCCAGTTATTGGGAGTTGAGCCATCAGCTTATCTGCCTATCTTGGGATTCTTCTATCTTCACAGCCTGTGAGCGGAGCCCTGCTCTCTGACCTGCCAATCTATATTGAGTTCATCAGCCCCTAAAGCTATGTGAATCAGGAGAAGCCTTGTGGTCTTGCCTGCCAGTCTTGGGATTCGTTGATATTCACAGCCTGTGAGCAAGAGCCCTGCTTTCCGACCTGCCGATCTTAGGTTCGCCAGACCCTACAGCTACGTGAATTGGGAGAAGCCTCTATCCTCATCCACGGACTTGGGACGTTCCAGCCTCTACAATCATGTGAGCTGTTTCTTTGATTTAAATCTCTCTCTAAATATATTTCTACGCTTTACTGGTTTTTCTTCTCTAGAGAACCCAGCCTAAGACACCACCCCTCCCTTTTCTCATGCAAATCCTCTCCTTGCTCTGATTTGCCACTTTTACCTCCTGCTCCCAACTTGGGGAACCTGAGCACTTGTGTGTGTGCATGACTGTGTGTTTACATGCATATGTGTGTGTGCATGGGCATTAGTGTGTGTGTGTATGAGTGTGTGGATAAGTGCCCATGTGCACCTGAGTGCATGTGAGTGTATGTATTAGTGCATGTGTGTGCATGATTATGACTGTGTGCACATGCATGAGTGTATGTGTGTGCATGTGCATGAGTGTGTGCATAACTGTGCATGAGTGCATGAGTGCACTTGTGTGAGACTGCAAGAGTATGTGCATGAATATATGTGTGTATGCATGTGCATGAGTCTTTGCATGTGTGTGAGTGTATGTGCATAACTGTGCATGCGCATGAGTGTATTGTGTGTGTGAATGTATGTATATGTGGGTGTGTTGATGTGCGTGTGCAAGTGTGTGACTTTGTGGGGAGGCATGCACTGTGTGTGCATGCATGTGTGTGTGTGTGGGTGCATATGTGTGAATACATATTCTGTGCATATGCATGACTTTTTGTGTGCGTGTGTGCACATGTGTAAGTGTATGTTGCGTATGAGCATGCTGTACATGTGCACACATGTTTAGGCACATGTGTGCATTGAGTGTTTGCACAGGTGCATGGGAGTGGAGGCATTGTATGTGCACTACATAAATGTATAGTTGTATATATGCATAAACGTGCCTAAGTGTGTACAAGTGTGTGTGTGTGTGTGTGTGCACAGGTGTGTGGGAATGGGAACATATATGTGTTCATTATGTGATTGTGTGTACTTGTGTACATGTGTGTGTGTGTGCCTGCCTGTTATGGGAGCTGACAGATCATTTCACAACCACAGAACCGAAGCGTGCCAAAATATGTCCCAGTGCCCTGGATGAGCAGGACTCTGAGACCATTGGATGGCATGCACATTCCCTCCCCCTTCCCTGTTCAAACCTTGTCTGCAGAGCTGGCCCCTACCTGACCTTTGTCTGAAATTGAGGGCAAGTCCCTGCACCCTCACATGATGAATACCCTCTGGTCATTTCAAGGGGATGTCTCTTTCGGTCTCAGGCTGCCAGTCACAGAGCGCACTGCACCTGGGAGGCTGGCAGTGGGAAGAAACACCGGTTGCTCTGTCACCTGTCCTGGGGCTTCTCCCTGTACCCTCTGCCCCAGCCTGCTGGTCTTTGTTCTGACCCCACAGGGTCAGGGCTGGGGGAGAGGAGAGCAAGGCGTAGGCACCTGTATCTCATAGCACCTTTGTGAGCCCTCAGAGCTTCTGTGCTGGAGCCTCCTCCTGCCTTGCCTGTGGCCCTCTGCCTACATAGCATCATGCTGGATCTCCGTCCACTGCCTGTGCCTCCTCCCACCCTGGACAACATCGTGATGGAGTCCTTACCACCACCTGCAGCCCACCCAGGCAGCACCTTTCTTTCCGGGACTCTTGTGATTGATAGCTTGGAATTGTGCATCCAATGGCACCACTTGCCTTCTGCAGAACTCACTCGGCTAATGTTCCCCACCATGGATTCCACATCTTATCCCTGGAATCCTGACCCTTGGACTCATGGTCCTTGGAAGGGCAGTTACTTCCCTCCCCATATCCCTCGCCACAGCCCCAGGCACTCCAGCCAGCTGCTCAAACCCCAGGCCACCGTGTCCCACAAGCTCCGGCAGCACAGGTCAGCTCTCCAAGTGGCCTCCTTGAAGCCCCATCATGGGCTCAGGTGGGTGCCCTAATGACACTCTCCTTGACCTCCCAGCTGAGCCCCTGGCCACCCCAGATGATTCTGGAGAAGAGTGATGGGTGAAGGTCCCAGGTATGGCTCACCAACACACTTCCTCTGCAGATTTAAGCACGCAGTTTATCACCTCACCTTGGAAAGTAGAAATGTCAGCCCCTGCTGCTTTGGGGTCTTAACTGAAACCAAGAAAAGGTCTAGGTTGAATAGTTCCATTTCTAGTTTAGTTTATCCAAAGCCCCAAAAGTTTAAATACAAAAGGTCCCAGACCACCTAGGCTAAAAGATTGTAAAACTGTTTCTAAACTGGCGGGCATCAGAGTTGTATGCTTTCACTATACGTGTTCAATCCGTATGATGAGCAAATAATCCAAAAAGCTGGATTATATGAAGAAGAACACAGTATCAGGATTGGAGGAAGATTCATTAACAACCTGCGATATGCAGATGACACAACTTGTTTGCTGAAAGTGAAGAGGACTTGAAGCACTTACTGATGAAGATCAAAGGCCACAGGCTTCAGTACAGATTACACCTCAACATAAAGAAATGAAAAATCCTCACAACTGGACCAAAAAGCAACATCATGATAAATGGAGAAAAGATTGAAGTTGTAAAGGATTTCATTTTACTTGGATCCACAATCAACTCTCTCATGGAAGCAGCAGTCAAGAAATCAAACGATGTATTGCATTGGGCAAATCTGCTGCAAAAGACCTCTTTAAACTCTGAAAAAGCAAAGATGTCACTTTGAGGACTAAGGTGCTCCTGATCCAAGCCATGGTATTTTCAATCGCCTCATATGCATGTGAAAGATGGACAACAAATAAGGAAGACCAAAGAAGAATTGATGCCTTTGAATTATGGTATTTTGCAAAGAATACTGAATATACCATGAACTGCCAGAAAAATGAACAAATCTGTCTTGGAAGAAGTACAGCTAGAATGCTCCTTAGAAGCGAGAATGGTAAGACTTCATCTTATGTACTTTGGACATGTTATCAGGAGGGACCAGTCCTTGGAGAAGGACACCATGCTTGGTAAAGTAGAGTGTCAGTGAAAAAGAGATGAATTGACATCTTTATTCTCTTCAACAAGACAAACTGACACAGTGGGTGCAACAATGGTCTCAAACCTAACAATGATTGAGAGGATTCACAGGACCAGGCAGTGTTTTGTTCTGTTGTACACAGGGTTGCTATGAATTGGAACCAACTCAATCGCACCTAACAACAACCACAAACTCATCATCTGCCTCCAGGGCACAAATAAAAAGAGATTGGAAATGAGGTAACCAGTAGTGAAAATTTCCTTGGAGAGACTTGTCAGAGTGCTATGTTCCCCTCCCAACTCATAGGAGAGAGGAAGGGGTGCTATCATTACCTTAGAACTAAGGAAATCCTAGGGATTCAAGAGCGTCATCTAGAGAGCTGATATGCCTCCAACCTGTAAGGGAGACTACTGCCCAGCACCTCCCTGTCAGAGCTTCCCAGCATTACCAGGACTCCCTTACTCATTATCTGACTCGCCTACTAGGACAGGAACTGTGTCTTCCTGCTCCTGGTATCCTGAGTGGTGCCATAGTGCCTAGAGTCATCAATCACTAACTGTTAATAGAGTGCATGAATCATTTTCATAGGAAGAGTAAAAAGTCACGTATTGAGAATTCATAGTCCACTGAGGCACTTTTGTATTCTCTATCAATGCAGAAGCAATTCAATGCCCAGCCAGATCCTGACACCAATTGTTTCTCCGTGAATTCCAAACAAATTCAAATTTTCCTTAAAGAAACCTCTAGGTTAGGATGGTGGATCGACAATACACATCAAGTCTCTCTCCCTCCCAAAACCACCAGAATTACAGTTAAAAAAATTTAAGGACAACAACCACAGGGAAAGAGAGAATGGGAGACAATGTCAACTTGGAATTTTATATCTAGCTAAACTATAAATCGACTGGGATGAACAGATATTTTCAGACATATGAGATCTCAAAAAGTTGCACCCTTTCTCAGAAAGTAAGTGGAGGATGTGCTCCACAAAAAAAAGGGGCATAAACTGAGAAACAGAGAGACAGAGGATTTGAAAACAGGAGATTCAACATGAGAGACATGAAAGGAATCTCCAAGATGACAATGAAAGAAGGTTCCAGAGCAATATTGTGCACCTGGGGTAAAAGGGACTAGCCAGACTGGAGCATGGGACTCGGTCACAGGCGGAGCAGAACTGTGTTCTCCCTGCTCTCTGCTGCTGCACAGTCTGCATAGATTGCAACAATGGCCCAAAGCCTTTGCCCTCCCGGGATCCTCATTCTCTGCCATGTGTTTCTGCAGTTTCATCAAGAGGTGGACTATTTTTCCCATCCCATAATTTGTACCCACTTTGACCAATAGGGAGTTAACTTGAAAAAGCACTTGTGCAGTTGGTTTCTCTCTTGTGTTTCTGACCATCACCATGAGAAGCACATGCCCAGGCTAGCCCACTAGTCTAAGGAGAAAGAGGGACACATGAACCAGAACTGCTCCTGGGGAGCCACCTCAGACAAGCCTCGCTTGGAATCAGCCCCAAGCCAGCTGCAGACACCCAGGTGAGCCAGCTCACCTGCAGGTATGTGAGATCAGCCAACCCTCAGACACAAGAGCTATAATGAGCAATTGTTGCTTTAAGCCATGAGGTTGGTGATCATTTCTCATGCAGCAATAACTAACCAATATGACATCTTTTTAACCTGATGAAACTCCCATAGAATGTACTCCACCAAAACAAGGAAGTAAACCGAGAAAGAGGAATCCAGGAGGCGGGTAGTGCAACCTAGAAGAAATGCAGAAAGATTTCCAGGAAGATAACAAAGGGAAGCCCTAGGAAAACCAGGAAGCCCCAGCAGCCCTGTGAGCAACAGCCCAGAAACCCTGTGTACATTTGTTGAGTGAGGTGTTGGAAGGCACGGGAAGAATTCGAATAGGTAAAAATAAACTAAGCAAATAAAAACAATGCCATTTTTAACTTGGGGGGGGGGGAAGGAAACATAATCACAGAACACTACAACATACAGCTGTGAATACTATTTGCATAAACATAACAATGTAAACACCAAGTAGTGGATTTACCAAACAGTATCTCACCAAATTGAGAAGGATGGAGGAGGAATGTCCAAGTGGTGGCAATGCAAGAGAGCTAAATCTACAGTACAAGAAGTTGATAGAAATGTCTAAAATTGGTCAAAAGGTAAAGCAGTGTTTGCACATTACTTAAAAATAAACCAAATACCGAACCCTTTGCCATCAAGTCGATTTGGACTCATAGTGACCTTATAGGACAGAGTAGAACTGCCCCATAGAGTTTTCAAGGCTATAATCTTTACAGAAGCAGACTGCCACAACTTTCTCCCACAAAGCGGCTGGTGGGTTGGAACCACCGACCTTTTGGTTCACAGCCATTGCATCACCAGGGCTCCACTTAAAAAAAAAAAAAGGAGTTACATAAAGAGCAAAAGAAAGAGCTGAAAGATTTGAGACCGGTACCCTCTGGAGACAGGTCTTAGGGAAGTAGGGAGTCGTAGGAGAGTGTTATGGATTGAGTTGAGTCCCCCCAAAATATCTGTCAGCTTGGCTGGGTCATGATTCCCAGTGTTGTATGATTGTGTAATCTGCTGTGATTTCCTTATATATTGTAAACTCTATCACTATGGTGAGGTTATATGGGATCTCCTTATGTGTTGTAAATTCTATCACTGTGATGAGGTTATACTGATGAGGTTTACAAGATTAGATAGTGTTTTAATCCAATCTCTTTTGAGATATAAAAGAGAGAAGTGAGCAGAGACACATGGGAACATCATACCACCAAGAAAGCAGTGCCAGGAGCAGAGCGCTTCTTTTTGTCCAGAGGTTTCTGTGCTGAGATGCTCCCAGACCACAGTAAGACTGATGCATCACAAGGACATTCCTCCTGAGCTGACAGAGAGAGAAAGTCTTCTCCTGGAGCTGACACCCTGAATTTGGACTTGTAGCCTACAGGACTGAGAATAAACTTCTCTTTGTTAAAACCATCCACTTGTGGTATTTCTGTTAGAGCAGCACTAGATGACTAAGAAAGGGACCCCTGTATTTTGTTATAAGCCTTTTAGGTATTCATTTTATTTTTAAACCATATGTATTTTCATATGACTTTCATAAAAATTTTTTAAAAAATTAATTGAGAAATGAACAGAGAAAATTCTGATTCATAAGCATGTATAATCATGAGGCAAGTTGCATTTGGGCAGGCCAATCCTTATGAAGGCCTGGGAGATGTGTTTTTTCACCCCAGGAGGGCCCCAGAGAAATGTGGAGAGGGTCAGTGGTCCCCCTAGGCCAGAGTGTGGTGCCCCAGGCAGGCTGAGGATGGAGCTGTGGGAATGAAACCCCCAGCATCGTTCATGCCTCAGAAGGGAAGAGTGGGTTCTCCTGCCTCCTGTAGGACACCTAACTTGATCACACCCTCTGAGGAGGGGTCTGCCATCTCCCAATGGAAGGGTCCCAAGCACTGCCAGACCAGGAGTCTCCCCCCAATCCTCTCTCTGTCAATCCACAAAGATACCTACTGTGAAGCTCAGACACCTCTCACTTCAGAAGAAGCCTCCGAGAATGCTATGTGGGTGCCATGATCTCATATTTATTGGGTGGTGAATTTGGCATCAACAGAAAAAGGCCCTCACGTGCACCAGTCCCCAGACTGGGATGTGGTGAAAACAGCATCGCAGGTTAGGATGTGCGTAGCCCAGGGCTGTGTTGAGTCTCAGAGAGCCCCCCACCCCCGGAGGAGGGAGCATTCCAGCCACTTTCTACAAAGGAGCACATGCCGATGGGTGACAGTGTACTGAGATTTATGGTGGTGGAGTCCCTGGGCTGTTGCATGGATGGGACAGGTTTACAATATCCAGAAGAGGACTAATGTTCAGAAGCAGGTGGAGGCGCTACAGGAGATGGGTCTGCAGATAAGGGTGGAGCAGGGCTGGCAGCAGTAGTACTGGCAGGAGGGGACCACACACACAGGCTTGCAGCTCACGGGCACACAGCAGGTCACCTGGCAGGGGCTGAGCACACAGCAGGCTGAGCTGCAGGAGGAGGCCCGGCAACATGCCACGGGGCAGCACGGGGATTGGAAGCCACCAGAGCAGCTGCTGGCAGCCCCACAGGGTGACTGACAGGAGCCAGCCATGGCCCACACAGGGTGGCACAGCAGAGTCATGCAGGTCACTGAGTGGCAGCAGGAGCTCCCACAGCCCAAGGGTGAGCAGCAGGCTGTGGGGACACAGCATGGTGGTGGGCAGCAGGCCAACTGGCAGCCTGTGGAGGAGGAGGTGTGGCACATGGTGGGTCTGTGGCTGGAGCAGGTAGGGAGGAGGTGGGGGCAGGTCTGCAGTCTCCTTCTGCTGAACGGCCTTTATAACCTGGGCACACAGGTGTCCAGGCAACACAGAAGCACATATATTGATTTCCTTGTTTGTGCTACATCTGGGCTGTCTCCCAGAACCTTATTTTCTCTTGCGGATTTTGCTATTTTGGCATTAGCTTCATGACTAATTGCATCTTCTTCAAACTTATTTCACATGGAAACTTGCCCATCTGTCTTCCTGGCTCTCTGCATTCTGCTTCGCTCCTTAACGTTGCACTTGTGTTGCTTTTATGTGATTCCAAAAAAACTTGGATCCTCTCATTTTCATCTCGAAGTGACAAAGATCTTCAAACAATCACAAAATTGTACAATCTTCACATGCCAGGAATAGATCATGGAAGATGTGAGGGAGAACTGAGGATGACTCATTGCTACTGAGAGCTGAAGTTGAAGAGCTGGCAGACAAATGCAAAAGGATAGGGAGACTATTTGTTCATAAGTGAGAATTGAAGGGTGTGGGCCATGGAAAACATCTTGTGGGAGCTGACATTGGATCCTTGTCTTAAGAAAGCCTCATAGTTAGAGAACTGAGATGAGATAAAGCACCAGGACATACTCAACGTGAGCACAGCTCTGTTAAAGATAAGGACTAGGGTTGGACCAAGTGTGTACCCAAGGAGATATGTGGGGACCCTGGGCTGAGTGGAGGGTTGCCCCCTGGGGAGCCATGGCAGGAAAGACGAGTTCAATATGGAGAACTACGTAACACTGCCAGAAACTGATAGAATGACAAGTGCCAGATAGCTCTCCAATCGAATATATAACCGAAAAAAATGACGCTGCATATGTTTTGAGGCAGTGGTCAACAGGCAGCACAAGACTGTGATTTCTGAGAGAAGGGAAACTCATGAGGTTAGCTTCACATTTGCCAAGATCTCTGTCTAGGGTCGATTTCCCAAATGCAGTGCAGTGAGCTAGAGTCTGAGCAGAACACAAGGATCCCTCCTGCTGAGGAGGAAGAGATCAGAGTTTGGAGCAGTTAAAGCACCAGGAATCTGAGGGGTAGGATATCAGAAAGGAGGAAGCTATGTATAAAGCAGCTCCCATAAATCTATGTGAGGGTCCCCTGTGAATCTGTGGAACAGAGCTTGGCTGTACATGTGCAAGGCTAGACCACCAGGGGCTTATCAGAGAGAAGCTCCTACTCAGTTGAGAATGGAACCCCCTGGTATCCAGATGAGACCCCATAGAGTCTGTGCCTTAGGTTTAAGGATCATACCCTAGAGTAAGACCTACCCTAGAGTGTCCTAGAAAAGCTTTTGAAAATCCATAACAAGATCTGCAGGGAAGACAGTTTGGAAGCTGAGTCCCAATAAGTTACAGAGCTTAGGAAACACCTTGGACATTCTACAGATTCTCCCTAACCAAGTGTAAAACCAAGCCTGCACAAGTTCAAGGGAATCAACCAGTAATTCATGCCTACTAGAAGAAAAATCAGTAGTTTGAAGAACACAATAAAAACTAGAGTCTCTAAAATATATTATCCACAATGTTAAATATACATTCATGAATCACAATACACATAAAGATACAGAAAAATGAGGCCAAGGAGAAAATAAAAAATAAAAAGCCGCAATGGAAACAAAATTTGAGATACCCCAGATGTTGGACTTAACAAACAAAATACCTCCACCTGTCACTAAAGATTTACACAATCATTGGGCCTCTGCTGTTAAACCAAAACTGCCCTATGAGAGATGTGTAGGATCAGACAGGAATCCAGATCATTCTTCAGTTAAACAGAACAACTGATCTCCCTGTGTCTTAGTCATCTAGTGCTGCTACAACAGAAATACCACAAGTGGATGGTTTTAACGAAGAGAAGTTTATTTCCTCACAGTCAAAGTAGGCTAGAAGTCCAAATTCAGGGCATCAGCTCCAGGGGAAGGCTTTTTCTCTCTGTTGGCCTTCTTCTCTTCAGTGTCCCCCTGGACTAGGAGCTTCTCTGCACAGGGACCCCAGTCCAAACGATGTGCTCTGCTCCCAACACTGCTTTCTTGATGGTATGAAGTCCCCATGTCTCTCTGCTCACTTCTGTCTTTTATACCTCAAGAGATTGCCTCAGGACACAATCCAGTCTTGTAGATCACGTCCTGCCTTACTAACACAACTGCCACCCATCTTCCCTCATTAACATCATAGAGGCAGGTTTACAACATACAGGAAAATCACACAGTACCAGGAATCATGGCCTAGCCAAATTGATACACACATTTTTGGGGGGACATAATTCAAACCATGACAGCCTGTTAACACCAGAAAGCACCTTAAACACTGGGCTATCTCCCTGAAAAAAAAAACAAAACACAAACACAAACACAGTGCTTCTATCCCTCAGCCATCACTGGGGAGAGGGGGAGTGGTGATCATGCTTTCAGTTAAAGGAAAGATTTAATTTTGTGAACTAGAACCTAGAATACTGTTATGAGGCTAAAAACAGCCCATGTGATGTTAGTCTTCCAGAACACTCCAAAATCACTACTAGTGAGAGACAAAGCCAGTATTCCCAGTGTCCTTCTCAGTTTATGAATCACCTCCAAGTGGTTTCATCTTGTAGAGATGAACATCCACATGTCCATGGCCTCAACAGTCACACTTTGGAGTCTATACCCAGGAGAAACGCTTGCAAGCAGACACCAGGAGACGTATTCAAGAATGTTCAGAGTAGCACCACCTATAATAGAAAACTCTTGGAAACTACATGACTGCCCATCTGTTTGAGAATGGATAACCTAAAATATTCACACAGTGGGACACTGGAGAGTATTCACAGTGAATGAACTACACCCAGACAAAATGTGGAGGAATCTTAGCAATATTTCATGGAGGGTAAAAGTAAGTCCCAGAAGATTACAGTCAGGATAATGTCCTTTTAATATTATTTAAAACAACTAAATTAGAAACTGGACTTTTCAGGAATCATAGAGATGCAACTAAACTCTATTTTTTGTTTAAAGGCAATAGGATGATGAGCATATGATTTCAGAGACAGGTCACCCCAAAAAGTTAGGGATAAATTATTGACTATGCTCTACTTTCCATGTTAGGTGGTGGGTTCATGGGAGTTTATTATATGATAATAATCAATCAATTTATTATCAATTAATAAAAAGTGGATCAGACATAACCCAGCGATGGGAGTGTATCATGAGCCCAGGATCAGAGCCAATCCAACTCTGTAAACCTGAGGTCAAAAATGTCAAAAGTTGTCTCACTGGATTTAATTCTCTATGACATATGAAATACAACATCTTCTGATGAAATGGGGAAATCCAATCCTCAATGCTATAAGACATTTTGACATCAGCTCCAGAGCTTGCTGGCTCTAAGGACAGGAACTGACAACAGAGAAAACAAGACCAAGTTTTCACAAGAGAAGAGGAGAATATGACCGCATGCACCTGAGCCTATGGGGAAGCAGTGAGAAGACTGGCAGTTTTCCTCCACCAAGGACCCTGAACCTTGCCATGAGCCATTGTGAAAAGGGACTGCTGTAGAGGGACTTCATCTAAACACAACTGCCAAAACGAATACCCAGAAAATACAGAAATAAAAAGAAAGACAAGAAACAGAGCTACATGGGGAAAGTATGATTTATTTGGCTGACGTCGGGTTTCCTGCTGGGATCATAGAAGGGCCCCGGAAGCCAGGGCTTCCCTAAGGGGATGTGCAGGGTCAGGGAGGGATCCAGATCATTCTGCCACAGGAGGGGCATCTTGTTCCAGAGTTTAGGGGGGTTCTTGAGGGAAATCAATGTGTTTTCATCTGCCCCATGTGTAGAACCTGCAGGACTCTTTCCAATAGGAGATACAGGTGGAGACCCGCCCACAATGGGAATGGCTGGTTGGGAGACACCTGGTCAGCAGCAGGCAGGAGTGCTACAGGAGACAGGTCTGCAGATGACAGTGGGGCAAGAGGGCTGGCAGCACTGGGAGGACTGGCAGGAGGGGACCACGCACACGGCGGGTTCACAGCTCACAGGCATACATACAGCAGGCTTACAGCTCACAGGCACACACACAGTGGGCTTGCAGCTCACAGGCACACAGCACTTCGCTTGGCAGGGGCTGGGCATGCAGCAAGCTGAGCCACAGGAGGAGGCCTGACTGCAGGCCGAAGGACAGCAGCTGGCAGTCCCACAGGGCAACTGACAGGAGCTGGCCACGCTACACATGGGCCGGCACAGCAGAGTCACACAGGGGGCAGGACAACTGCAGGAGCTCCCGCAGCATGGGGATGAGCAGCAGGCAGCAGGGGCACAGCACCCGGGCCTGGGGCACGGCGACTGGCAGCCCATGGAACAGCAGGTGTGGTACATGGTGGATGTGTGGTGGGGTAGGTTTCAGGGAGGAGGTGGGCGTTGGTCTGCAGGCTCCTTCTGCTGGGAGGCCTTTATATCCAGGGCTCATGGCCATCCAAACAACACAAAGCACAACTGTTGTTTTCCTTGTTTTTGCTTCCTCTGGGCTGTCTCCCACAACCTTATTTTTCTGTTGTGGATTTTTTTTTTTTTCATTTGGCCCTAGCCTTCATGACTAATTACATCTTCTTCCAGCTCTTCTTTTACTTGGAAACCTGCCCATCTATCTTACTGGCTCAGTCTAGATTCTGCCTCATTCCTTAATATCTCACTGGTGCTACTATTATGGAATTCCAAAAATTTGGATCTCCAGATTTTCCTCTTGGTGTGACTGCAATCTTCAAACAACCGCAATTTGTAAAAATCCTCCCATGTGCCAGGAAGAGTCCATGATAAATGGGAGAAAAACCTTAGGATGACTAACTCATCTGTGAGCTCCCCAGAGCTGAGGATGTAGTTGGACAGCTGGCAGATACACATAGAAGGACAAGGAGACTATTGTCCATAGGATAAGGGAGGACTAAAGGGTTGGATTATGTAGAACTTCTTGTGGGTGGTGACTTTGGATCCTTGTCTTGGAGAAAGCCTCACAGCTAGAGAACCAAGATGAGACAAGGCAGCAGGATATCTTAAATGGAGGCGCAGCTCTACCAAAGGCAGGGAATAGATTCGGATCAAATATGTGCCCAAGGGCCAAGTGGAGGCTTCTCCGCCAGGGGAGGAGGGCTATGTCAGAATACATAACAGTTAATTAGGGAGAACAAGATAATATTGGCACAATTTGAGAGAATGACTAGGGCTTGACTAGCCCACCAGTCAACTATAGATGAGAAAAAAAATTATCAGGCATATGTTTTCAGACAGTGGTCAATAGGCAGTGCAAGAATGTGATTTCCAAGAAAAAGGAAACTCACGAGGTTAGCTCATGTGCCTTCAGGTTCTGCTTGTGCCCAATCTCATAAATATCACTTCCATTTAATGATGGAGTGCTGCTGTGCACATCAAAACTTTATGGCTCTGTGGGTCAGACAACACCTAGTTCATGCTACATGGTGACTTGGTGGCCCATAGTTAAACGTTCAGTCTCCACTAAGGCCCAGAAACAAGCCAAAAGGTGTTTCTTGAAAGGAGAGTAGTTATCTGCAGAGGATGGCAGGGCTTTGCTCCAAAATCCTAAGGGTCTGTGCTGTGATTCACCAATAGGCACCTCCAAGGACTCCAAACAGCATCTCTATCTGCCCCTGACACTTCAAGCACCATTGGATCAACCAGATCATATGGCCCAAGTGGCACAGCTGCTTGTACAGCACCCTGCACCTGTTGCAGAGCCTTCTTGTGTTCTGGGCCTCATTCAAAACCAGCAACTTTTCAAGTCACTTGACAAATAAGCCAGAGTAGGACACCCAAATGAGAGATATGTTGCCTCCAAAATCCAGAGATGCCCCCTAGGCATTGTGCCTCCTTTTTAGTTGTGGGAGGGGCCAGATGCAATAACTTATCCTTTACTTCAGAAGGAATATCTCGACATGTCCTACATCACTGAAGCCCTAGAAATTTCACTGAGATGGAAGGTGGTTGAATTTTTGTAGGGTTAATTTCTCACCCTCTGGCAGGCAAATGTTTTACCAATAAGTCCAAAGTCATTGACACTTCTTCCTTACTAGGTCCAATCAGCATAATGCCATCAATATAATGGACCAGTGTGACGTGTTGTGGAAGGGAAATGCGACTGACGTCCCTGTGGACTAAATTATGACATAGGGCTAGAGCGTTGATATACTTCTGAGGTAGAACACTGAAGGTATATTGTTGGCCTTGTCTGCTGAAGGCAAACTGCCTCTGGTGGTTCTTTGAAACAGGTATGGAGAAAAAGGCATTAGCCAGATCAACAGCTACATAACAGATACCAGAAGATGTATTAATTTGCTCAAGCAGTGAAACTACATCTGGAACAGAAGCTGCAATTAGATTCACCCCCTGGTTAAGTTTTCAATAATCCACTGCCGTTCTCCAACATCCATCTTTTTTTTGCACAAGCCAAATACGCGAGTTGAATGTGGTTATGGTGGGAATCAACACCCATGCATCCTTCAAGCCCTTGATGGTGGCAGTAATCTCTGCAATCTCTCCAGAAATGTGGTATTGCTTTCGGTTTACTATTTTCCTAGGTAGGGGAAGTTCTAACAGCTTCCACTTGGCTATTTCTACCATAATAGCCCTTACTCCATTTTTCAGGGATCCAGTGTGTAGGTTCTGCCAGTTGCTGAGTATATCTATTCCAATTATGCATTCTGGAACTTGGGAAATCACTACAGGATGGGTTTGGGGACCCACTGGACCTACCGTGAGATCGACATGAGCTAAGACTCCATTAATAACCTGACCTCCATATGCCCCCAGTTTGACTCTTGGGCCACAGTGATGTTTTGGGTCTCCTGGAATTAGTGTCAGTTCAGAGCCAGTATCCAGTAGTCTTCAAAAAGTCTGATTATTTCCTTTTCCCCAGTGAGCAGTCACTCTCATAACAGGCTCCAGAGCCCTTTGGGGAAGCAAGGGAGAAAGATTAACAGTATAAATTTTTGGCAGTGTATTGGAGTCCTTCCTCAAGGGACCTGGCCTCCCCTTCATTCAAGGGGTTGTGGGTCTTTAAACTCACTCAAGTCTTGGAATTGATTGAGGGGCCATGACTCTCTATTCTGGCAATTCGAGTTAGACTGCTGTTCACTTGACCTAGAATTCTTCCGCTTGTACAAATTAAGTAATTATTTATTAGATTTCCTATCTATTTCACTCCTAGGGACACCATGACTAAGTAGCCAACACCATAAGTCTGTACGAGGCAGACTATTCTGATTACTGCTTTGACTCCACTGTCCATACCATCTACCATAATAGCCCTTACTCCTGGACTAGGAGTTTCTCTGCGCAGGAACCTCGGGTCTAGAGGACAGCCTCTGCTCCTGGCACTGCTTTCTTGGTGGTATGAGGTCCCCCTGTCTCTCTGCTCATTTCTCTCTTTTATATCTCAAAAGAGATTGGCTTAAGATGCTACCTAATCTTGTAGACCTCATCAATATAACTGCCGCTAATCCATCTTATTTCATCATAGTAATAGCATTTACAACACATAGGGAAATCACATCAGATGATAAAATGGTAGACAATCATACAATACTGAGATCATGACCTAGCCAAGTCGACAGACATTTTGGGGGGACACAATTCAATCCATGACAGGCCCCATATCAGTAAACTCAGACTGATCCAACTTTATGTTCCTTGAACCATTATCCCACACCCTTAATAGCCATTCCCACACATATTCCCCAGGTTTCTGTTTGTACATATTAGAAAAGTCAAGCAGTTCTTTTGGAGTGTAGCGTACCTCCTCCTGGGTCACACTTTGTATCTCACCTTTTGGGGCTCACTGGGACTTAAGTCTAGTTATAGGTCTAGAAGCCAAAATGGGTGGTGAGGGTGTGTTCTGAGAACATTCAGCATTGTCTTGTAAGGCATCTGCCTCAGGCGATGCCCCAGGCAATGACTCAGACAAAGGCTCTTCAGACACAGCAGAGTCAATCTTATCAGATGGGGATAGAAGGACTAATGGTTTTACTGGGAAGGGTGGCTTAGCAGACAAAGATGGAGTAGTCTCTTCAGATGGGAGTGAGAGGGCTGGTTCTGTTGGCAGAAGTGATTCAACAGAATTTAGGGGCTCAGTGTTCCCAGCTTCCTGATTATCTGCCCATATGTCCCCATCCCAAGTTTCAGAATCCCATTTTTTCCCAAGCAATGCCCTCCCTTTAACTGCAGACATCACTTGAGGGTGGGAATTCAGTTGGCATTGTAATTCGGCCACTCTTGCAATAAGATTCTGGGTTTTGTTTTCAGCAATATCAGCTCTGTTACTACAAGAAATAAGGCTTTCTTTCAAGGCACAAGTGGAAAATTTGAGGTCATTTATGCAGTGTTTGAGCTTTGATTCTGAAGCCTGAGCTCATCTCTTTCTTTCAACATTTTGTCTAGTGAAAGTAGGACCAACTAACCAGCTTCCTTATACTTCTTATTATGACAAAATTGTAGAAAGGTATCAAACATGCAGTCACCCAGAGCCTTGCCTCTCACCAATACCTGATCTATTGGTGGTGATATTTTGTGTATTTTTATTGCCACCTCATGCCATGGACTAGCAATGTCCTCTTTACTACTGGGAGCAGAGTCATCAACATCTTTAAGACTAACCAGACTTGAGAACCAATTTAGAAAACTCATTCTTACAATTTTGTTTCTCTAGAACCATCCCACTCTCAGTACCAAATGTCTTAGGCTGGGTTCTCTAGAAAAGCAAAACCAGTGAAGTGTCTATGTGTATATGTGTGTGTGTGTGTGTGTGTGTGTGTGTGTGTGTGCGCGCACATATACAAAGAGAGAGAGATCAAGGAAATGGCTCACACAGTAGTATAGGCTGGAAAGTCCCAAATCCATTGGTCAGGTTGGAGGCTTCTCCCAACTCACGTAGCTGCAGGGGCTGGCAAACCCAAGATCCAGACTGAGGAGGCTCACGAATCCCAAGATCAACAGGTAAGCTGCTAGCTCAAGTCCCAAGAACTGGAGGTCAGATGAAAAGGAGCCAGCTGCAGGACCCAGAGCAAGCAAAAGCCAGCAAGCCTTGCCAGAAAGTCCACCTATATTGGATACAGGCCACACTCCCAAGGAAACTCCCTTTTAAGGGCATATATATGAAATCAACAGCTAACATTATTCTTAACAGAGAGAGACTGAAAGCATTCCCCTTGAGAACAGGAACCAGACAAGGATGCCCTTTATCACTCCTCTTATTCAGTATTTTACTGGAAGTCTTAGCCAGAGCAATAAAGCAAGAAAGGGAAATAAAGAGCATATCAACTGGTAAGAAAGAAATAAAACTATCCCTATTCACAGATGATATTATAATATGC